CACTCCAGTCTGGGTGACCGAGTGAGACTCCAACTCAAAAAACAAAACAAAACAGAAAAAACTTCTATAACTACCCAGGTTAAGGGAATAGGGGCTAAAAGGGAAGGCCTCAGAGGGGGCAACAACTAATTTTTCCACTCAACTTCCTCCCCCTACTCAGCAACCTGGCCCTGTGTTCACCTTTCATACTCACCATGCGGCCCCAATCAGTCCCCAACTTCTGCTTCCCACATTGCTAATTCCTACCTTTACCTCCTTTTACCATTTTCTTCTAGAATCCATTGATCGGGCAAGAGACTACCGGACCACAAAAAAATCAGGCATGTGCTCTCTGGCTTGTCTCCCTATTGTCTTATGTTGAATCCATTTCACCGTTTATACAACCTGCCTGGTCCCACAGAGATGCCAGTTTGAGATCCTTGTCACTGATTATCCTTATCTGTCCTTTAAAGCAAGTCCCTAAAGAACCACTCTCTGACAACCTTTAATTGTACTAGCTGGGAATGCTATACTGAAGATGCAAAATATACTTGTCCAGATTTGATTGGCTGATAATTCCCTGATGCCCTCTCTCTATCGTATCGTGAGCTTTAAGCTTCTCAGGTCTGCTTTTTCCCCTCTTGGTGCTAACTCTTGGAATTCTAATGCTTGGCCTGAAATCCAGGCACTTTTAACTGCAGGTAAAAGAAATTTCAGCTCTAGAGGTGTCTTCTAAGACAACTAGACAACGGTGATGTCTTGGGAATGTCACCCTCAATCTCTGTTCATTTGATTGGTCTTTACCAATCATTTGTTGCTTTACCATTTGTTGCTCTGATAATATTTTAACTAATGTCTGTTTTCCAGCAGGTAGAAATACCTGTGACGTGGGCACATCCTAATTTTCCCACATGCATAGTCACAAAGATGAAAAGACGACTGTTGACTCAGTTGCTAAAATTTTCCATGTTAGTGAAAAGTCGCATCTCATTTAAATGAACAAGTCATTCATGAAGGGAACAAAAATACTTTAAAGCAGTTCCACGAATTCAGTCTTTTAATTAATTTAAAGTAGCTCACTTCTTTTGGATTTTGCTAAAGGGTGGAATTTCCAGATGCTTCCATTTCTCAAATATTCCCAATCTTCTTGGGAAAAGGAAGTAGGAGAGGTCCCCAACCTGCCTAGGAAAATGCACCCTTTATCTTTAATATTTTATGACTCCCAGGCAGCAAAGAGACAGGTCCTTGCAACAGAAGGCTCATATTTCAGGCCCATAGCAGCCCGGAGTCCTCTCACCCGGTTTCAAGGCTGATCAACCAGTTGCAGCCGCCCCCAGGCTCCTCTGAAAGAACCCGTGCCTGATAGAAAGGCTTTCCTGAAAAACCTCAGAAGCTAGGACTGCTGAACGTGGGAATTATGGCTTTGGGCAGACGTGGGTTCAAGTCCCAGCCCCACCCCATCCGAGTACTGCAGCCATAACCTGGATGAGTCATGGTGCCCACCTGCCCACCTCCCGGTTGGCCCAAAGACCACTCAGGCGGGGGAGGTCTGGGGCGGCTCCATGCAGGTCTCCAGGAAGAAGTGATGACGGGGATTCTCACGGGACTTCAGAGTGTCCAGCCTCCTCAGCTCAGGTATGTCCCCTCATGATTTTATGGGTGAATGTGTGTGGGAGGCTCTGTTCCCCTCTTCTCCAAGTTCCCCGTAGAAGGACTTCCACGAGGGGAGCGCCACTGGCTGTCACTGTCCCTTGGCATTCTTCCTCAGTGAGGAGGAGGGACTTCTTAGAGGGGAGAGTTTGGGGGAACAGCTGCTGTGTGCAGCAGAATCTTATAGAATCTATCCGTGCATGGGTGCGCAGGGGTCAGGAGGCCTTAGACAGTATCCACTACCTTTGACCACCGGAGAAAGTCCCCTTAGCTGGCAAGTCTCCTCACCCACATTCCCAAGGTAGATTCTGCGGTTATTCCACAAGAAAGGAGACATCCTGAGCCTGACTCCAGTATCTTGCTCTTGTTGGTCCTTGAAACCCCTCATGTCCTCTTGGCTGCTCCAATCCTTAAATCACAAAGCGACAGCCACACAGGCCAGGAAGCACTCACCCAGGCGTGAGGTCTGCTTCCGCTTGATCTCTGTGAGCTTGGGGATGGGGTAGGGCCCGTAGCAGTGCGTGAAGATGACACAGAGCTGCTGGCTGATGACCTCGTTCTGCGGAGAAGAACAAGTTTGAGTGACTGGACGGTCTCAGCCAAGCTGTCGCCCCAGGCAGGCGTCTTCCCTGCCACCCCAGGCAACAGGCACTCATGTGTTTTCTGCAGGTTCCAGAAGGAATTTCTCTGTAGAGCACATGTTCAGTTTGCCCCAGCAGGCCCTGGATTTGCTTGCTCTGTCTGTCCAGGCTGTTTCTGGTTCACCAGCGAAGCTTAAGAAAAGTGTAATTAATTTCTTCTGTCCCACCCTAATAATTTACCTCCACTGGAAAGTAGGTTTTTGTAGTTCATAGAATGAAAAATAAGTTTTCACCCCAAACTTACCTTTATCAATACAGGAAGTTCCCAACATACAAACGAGTTCTGTTTTGAGAGTGCATCTGTAATTTCAATTTTAAGTCCAACAAAGTTAGCCTAGGTACCCAACTAACACAATCCACTACATAGTATGTATTTAGCAGGTTATACTGGCAATTGGTGGAGAGAAATAATACATAAAAAAAATGCAGGTGTACATCATTAAAGTTTGTAACTTGAAGGTTTGTATGTAGGGGACTCACTGTACTTTAACGTTCTGGAAGCAGTGAATGATTGAGAAACTGGCAGCAGGAAGCCCTTTGGGGTTAACAAGACAAATGATCCTGACTTGGTTTTCTTATAGATTTGATTCTGGGGTGGAGGCATTTCCAGATCCACAAGAGCTCAGCTGAATCACTTTCTCCAGAAAAAGTGTGTGGGGGATAGTCCTACCACCACCCCCAGCTATAGCCACCCCCGACTGCTGGGGACGGGAGCCTCTTTCTGATGGACCCTTGTCCTTTGTGCTGTCTTTCCCAAGTTTGCTCCATTTCTGTTCACTGATCTCTCCCCAATTGCGGGACACGAACCACAGCATTTTGTTACTTTATATTGGGTAAAGGGGGCTGAAACCAGGGGCTCAAAATGGGAATAAATAGAAAAATATTGGCAATATAGTAAGTAAAAAACGCAGGTCACAACACAGCTTGTACCATGTCTTTTTGGAAATAAAACCCTACACATATATTTGGTGTGACAGGTACAGAAGAAGGTCTGGGAGAATAGAGCAGTTACTTTTGGGTAAGATTATGTTTTCTCTTTCTATTTATGTTTTCTCCAACAAACAAGCACTACTTTTGTCATAAGAATAATAAGTACTATTTTGGATTTTGAAAGATGAGCTTGGGGCCGGGTGTGGTGGCTCATGTCCATCATTCCAGCACTTTGGGAGGCTGAGGGGGGAGGATTGCTTGAGCCCAGGAGTTCAAGATCAGCCTAGGCAACATAGTGAGACCACGTCTCTACAAAATTAAAAAAATAAAATTACCCAGGTGTGGTGATGCATGCTTGTAGTCCCAGCTACTTGGGAGGCTGAGGCAGAAGGATTGCCTGAGCCCAGGAGGTTGAGGCTAGGGTAAGCCATGATTGAACCACTGCACTCCACCCTGAGTAAAAGACCCCAACTCAAAAAAAAAAAATAGATGAGTTTGGGACCACTAGTGATATCAGTGATTCAAACTATTTTCAAATGGAGTGACTTCATTGTGCTTTCAAGGTGGAAGGATACAGCCCCTCATAAGAAAAGTAAGTCCAAATCCTTCCATTAAAGTGGACAGATCACAGAGGGCACATGTCACCTTAGACGTGAGTCACAGAATTGCAGTCACATGGAGGCCCAAAGGGACTCTACTTTCCAAGATGGTGCCGTAGAACCCAGAGGCATGATGTGCTCCCCCCACTTACACTCATAAAAGTGACTGCCTGCCTTGTGGCTTAATGCAGAGTTCTCAAAGTGTGGTCCCTGGACCAGTGGTGTCAGCATCGCATGGGAGCTTGTTAGAAATGCAAAGTCTCGGGTCTGGCCTCAACATTCTGATTCCAGAAACTCTGGGGGGTGGGGCCCAGGAATCTGCACTTGACAGGTTTCTGATGCCGATATGCCCTTCAGTTTGAGAACCACTGGATCCTTGTCCTGAAGTTCCCTCTTGGGTGTGGCCTGTCCATTTGTTTCCTGAGGCCTAAGGCCTTGCCACCTGAAATGTGCTCCACAGACCAACAGCACCAGCCTGGGAGCAGCGCACAAGCTCACCCCCAGACCCTCCGAGTCAGGATTTGCATTCTAACAGACTCTGCAGGTGACTTCTGGGTACACTCATGTAGGAGAAGCACTGTGTGGGAGGCGGAATCCCAGTCCCCAGAAGACTGCACGTCCTAACCATGGGACTGTGAATAGCATGAGATACCCCACATTTGTGTGCTACCTTATCCGGCAACTAGGACTTTGCAGAAGAATGTCCCAAACTGCTTATAAACGGCAGAAATTTATTTCTCACAGTTTTGGAGCCTGGGAAGTTCAAGATCTAGGTAGATCTGGGGTCTGGTGAGGGCCTGTTTCTCATAGATGGTGCCTTCGAGTGGTGTTCTCACGTGGTGGAAAGGATGAGGCAGCTCTCTGGGATCTTTGTACAGACCGAGTCACCTTCCAAAGGCCCCACTTCCTAGTACCATCACCTTGGGGACTAGAACTTCAACATATGAATTTAGGGGGGATACAAATATTCAGACCAGTTACTAATTAGTTGACCCTAAAGTAGATTAACCTGGATTATCTGGGTGAGCCCAAAGCAACCACACAAACTCTTAAAAGTAGAAGTAGAAGCCGGGCTCGGTGGCTCAGCCTGTAATCCCGTGCTTTGGGAGGCCGAGGTGAGTGAATTGCCTGAGTCTGTAGGTTCGAGACCTGCCTGGCCAACTTGGCGAGACCTCATCTCCACAATAAATCAAAAAAATTAGCCAGGCGTGGTAGCGCACGCCTGTAATTCCAGCTACTCGGAAGATTGAGGCGGAAGGATCGCCGGAGCCCAGCAGGTTGAGGCTGCGGTGGCCGGGAGCGTGCCACTGCACTCCAGTCTGGGCGACAGAGTGAGACTTCAACTCAAAAAAAGAAGAAGAAGCAGAAAAGAATTTCAGAAGGGAAGAAAGAAAAGAACTTCAGAAGAGGATGCCAAAGTGATCCCAGCCTGAGAAGCACTTGCCGCTTAGTTGCTGGCTTGGGGATGGAGCGTCCCACGGCAAGCTTGAGGAGATGCAGACCGCCATGCTAGGAGACAAGTGTAATGCCCATCTACAGCCAGTGAGGGAACGGGGCCTCAGTTCCACAGCCACGAGGAACTGAACTCTACCCCAACCTGAGTGGGAGCAATTCTTCCCCAAAGCCTCCAGAAAGGAACATAAATCCTCCGACACCTTGATTGTGCCTGTGAGACCCAGACAGAGAACCCTGTGGAGGCACACTGTGCCCAGACTTTTAGACCCACAGAAACCATGAGACAAGAAACAGGTGTGTCTTAAGCCTCCAAACTACCGTAATAGAAAACTAACACAACTGTCTAACGTTGACATCAGTTGGGCCATATTTCATCACTCCTGTGACCCCAGAGAGCCAGACACATCACGGACGCTTCATCAGTATTGACTGATCCTAAAGCTGAGAACTGTTCTCTGCACAAATGCTGTGTCAACTGTGTTGGGAATGTCACAGGTCTCATCCACACCAGGGTTTGTCTTGAGTGTTGCTGGTGAATCAGCTCCTGTCTAGCCAACCGAGTAAAGGAATACGAATCCATTTCCTGGACTCTGGTGGTCTTGAGAGAGGCCCGAGCAGCCTTCAGACTCTTCTGTGAATTTTTTGGGGGGGCTTGGAGGGGGTTGTTGTTTAATCGAATTTCACAGGTACTTACTAAGCAGTGAAGTCCCAGAGTGAAAGACGCTGTATTAGGGTCACAAAAGTCGGCAAAGCAAGACCCCTCCTCTCCTGGAATGCACAACATGACCCTTCTTTCTAATGCCCATATGTTTTGTATCACCCGAGAAAGTAAGTATGAGGGCTGGCCGTGTCTCTGAATGGAAAATTCTCACATACGTAACAATTACCTGGGGGAGACACGACACCCCACTCCTTACACGAGGGCTGTGCATGCTCACTGCATTCCAAGGGGACAGTATGGAAGGGGAGAAGAGAGGGAGTTTACAGTGGAGTTACTCAACAAATACGACCTTGGCCTGGAGGGCAAGGTCAACAACAGTGATAAGAATTTTCCCTTGGTAAGATGTGATGAGAATGGTACTTTATCTCTGGGGATTTCCTCTCAAAAACCCATCACCCCAGTCTAATCGTGAGGAAAACATCCAACATATTGCCTTAGAATGGCCGCCGATAACAGGCATGGCCAGGACTCCTCAAAGCTTTCAAGGTCATCCAAAGCAAGGAAAATCTGAGAAACTGTCTCAGTCGAAATGAGCTGAAAGAGATTTGGCAACTAATGTAACATGGTACTCTGGATGGGATCCTGGAACAGAGTAAGACACTAGGTAAAAGAAATATGGAAAAGTATGGAATTCAGCTAGTAATAATATATTAACGTTGGCTCATTAATTGTAACAAATATACTAATGTACAAGGAGAAATCCCAAAACGCTGGAATTTATTTATAAAAATTGTGGTTTTATTCTTATATGTTTAAACTTCGGTCACCTTCAAGGTACTCTCCGTTTGATGCAATGCACCTACTGAGATGCTTTTTTCACTGCTCAAAATAATTTTTGAACATGTCACTTTTGATAACTTTTAGTGCTTCTGTTTTTTGTTTCACCTCTTCCATGTGGGCAAAATGTTTCCCTTTGAGGGTTTCTTTCATCTGGGGAAACCAAGGAAAGTCTCTTGGGGAGAGATCAGGTGAATGGGGGGGCATCGGGGTCATGTTGCTTTTGGTCAAAAACTGAACACTTAGCACAGTGTGGGCAGGTGAGATGTTTGTCACAACTTGGGACGTTATCCCGTAAATCATGATGCAACCTCCTCAAAACTTCCAGATAAAAACTCTGGCTGACTGTCTGATCTGGAGGAACAAATTCCAAGTATGCTACGAGGAGCCCACCTTCCAAGATAAATCCATTTTTGGGGGGTCCTCTCCTTATAAG